CAGCAGGACAGCGGCCTGTTTAATGTCGGCTTGGACATCGTTATTTACTTCTGTTTGTTTCTTTATGCGAACATGTGTGAAGGTAACAATTTGTACGAAACTCAGTGAGCACAGCAGTAGACAACAGTTGTAATGGCCCTTTTGTTTGTTTGTTTTCTGAAAAATGCTCTTTGGAAGCAGATGCGCAGTGATTGTGAACTGACGGAGCGTGAGCCTCAGGGACCACGGCAGAAGGGCTGGGGGGGCGGGGGCTGGGCTAGGCAGCGGTCGTTGGTCACTTGTAGAATCAGGAGATTAATGAATGCAGAAAACACTGCCTGATGTTCCTCCTGGTGTTATTCTAGCATCACACACACACACACACACACACACACACACACACACACACACAGCAAGGATGTTCTTAGCTCAGAAGTTGAGAGGGTTCCAGAATGCTAGCAGGAGCTTGGCTAGGTGAGGGTGGAATGTATATGCTGTTTTACCTATTTTAAAAGGCCTCATGGAAATTAGCCCGTGAGTGCTAACCAAATATATATATTTTAATCCTCACTCGAGGTTATGTTTATCGATTTGAGAGAGAGAGAGGAAGGGAGAGCATTGATGTGAGACAGAAGCATCAATTCGTTGCTTCCCGTATGTGCCCCGACAGGGGATCAAATGTGAAACCTTTTGGTGCACGGATGGCGCTCCAACCCGCTGAGCCGCCCAGCCAGGGCTACCTGAATATATTGTGACAGAAAATATCCTCCAGCCACAGACCCCCAGGACCATGCCTGTGGGTGAATAAGTTGGGCCTGTTACTGGTTCCAGCGAGGAAGACCACATTCAACATACACATGGGGAGCCCAGGGTGCGCCTCCACCCCGCCCCGCCGCGGGCCTCGGGCAGCGCCGGGCGGTTTAGGGGTTGTAAGCAGCCACTCCAAGGGAAACTCCAGTCCTGGCCTGGAGCCCACGAGCCTGGGGGGGAGGCGGCTCCTCCCAGGTGTGGCCCCCTCGCCAGGCTTACCTGTCGGCCCGCCGGCCACAGGGCTATCGTCAGATCCCCGCACTGATGAGTAAGTCTAAGAGCTCCATGCCTGAAAATATAAAAATAAGATCCTCGGCGAGCCAAGTGAATAAACACTGAGAAGAAAGGAGACATGTGCACGATTAGAAATGAAAAAAGAAATAACCATGAATACAAGCAAATGTGAAAATTCTAAAAGCCTGCGTTGCAAAACGAGGCCAATACGCTGAAAAAATACTGCCATTGCTGTTCTAAGAAAATACTTGTAACAAAACTCGACTCTGGAAGTGCCCAAGGAGATAGAGCCAGAAACAAATGTAGCCGTGGGCGCCCGACAGCCCCCAGGGGTGCTCTGTCACGCTGAAGTAGAGGGTGATTTCAAACCAAGTCAATGGTTGCTAAATAGAGAAGGTTTTTTTGTTTGTTTGTTTCTCTTTGTGTTTGGCACACAGAAGCCACTGAGTGCAAAGCGATTAATCTCAACTATGAACATGGACATCCAAAATCATACAGATCAGAACAGTGGCCTTAGGAATCTGTTAGGCTAATGGGGACAGAATCTACTCCTTTGGTCTGAAGGAATCTATTAAGATAATAGGACAGAGTTACTGAGGGCAGGAAATCCGATTGTCCCTGTGGACACCGGGGAGGCTGTGACAAAAATCTATCACATGCGTTTTCCCTAGGAAGCCTCGGTTGTTAGAGAATATGTAGGTACTTTTTTATTATGACAACAAACAGAGATGCTCTCATACAAGTTCAATGGCAAGACACTGAGGCGACCCGTTACTGTCAGGACTTGATAAGAGCCACCCCGCCCCTGTTACCCGACGCTGCGCTCAGGCTGGTAAGAGAAAGAAGTAAGGGAAACGTCGGGCAGGAGGAGGCAACAAAAATTCCCCGAAACAACAAGAGATCACAGTTATGGCGGTTATGCTATTAACATACAAAATCTACTCCTTTCCTCTATGCCCCGTGAGAAAATAAAACGGAAGAACTCATTCCATTGAAAGTGCTAGCCAAGTGATGAAATATTTAGAAATAAACAAGAAATGTTTAGAACCTGTCAGAACAAAACCATAAAACCTATTCAGTGATGTAAAATGAAGATTTGAACACAGGCCTAGATTGCAGTATTCTTGAATAGGAAGATTTATTTTATAAATTCATTGCGACCCTAGTTTTTTGGTTGTTTTTTTTTTAAAGATACATGTCTCTGTGTATGTTGAGGGGAGCGTTGACTTAAAAATATTCATATTCATATGAATATTTGATACTGATATGAATTAAGCCTCAGAAATTTAAAGGCATTCAGGGAGAGTTAATAAAAAAGATAGAGCTAAACATTTAGAGGAATTGAGTTTATGAAAAAGGTGGTATTTGGAACAAATGAGGAAGAGATTATCATTGTAATACCAAAATGCACCGTTATATATTTTATTGGCACAAGTGACCAAGCATTTGGAGACAACCAAAAATTAGCACCTTTACCTCCATTACCTGCAATAAATGAGTTCCAGGGGGTTAGAAGACTTAAGGTGAACACATAAAAGCATAAGGGTTTAGAAGAAAATAGGAGTAAGTTTATTTATAATCTCAGAATGGGGAAGGCCTTTTAAAACTAGAAACAAACCCCAGGAGCTACAAAGGAAAAGATGATACATTGACAACATGACACTTTACACTTTATGCCAATAAACAAATCAATAAATAACATCAAAAGGCAAGTAAGTAAAAATATTTCAAGACGTAAGACAGAAAGGTTCCAAAGTGCACAGGTAAATTAATTAAGATAAAGGCTGCTTTTTTCCCCTCCTGCCATTCACACTTTTCTAACCACGTGTCCTTATTACATCTGAAAATGCAGAGCAGTTATTTGTATGGTCAGAGAATATGAACCACTTTTGTTCACTTTTTAATGTTTTTCTGTACAAAATACAAAACCAAAAAGGCTTTTTCCAAAAGCAAAAATGGAGTAGGGACCCATTTCCAGATAGCGAGAAGAAATGAAGCATTTTCTTAATATGTATCAAAACACTCTACCTGTTTCTAAAGGTCGTGTAATAGACAAAAAAAGAAAAAGAAAATAGAAAGAAAACACCGTGTGTCGTTTGTCCCATGAAGAATGGGTGACTGCTGAGTGCTGAGTCTCCCGGTGTGATCACTGATCAATCTTGTTGTGAACAAGCACCCTCTCTAATCCTGCACCCAGGGCCCCAACCCCCGCACACACTCGCTCACATGCACACACGGCACACGCAAGCCGCCACCTTCCCCACTGCAAACCAACCCATGTGCATTAACCAGAAACGAGTGAAATGAATGGCTGGATTTCTTTTGCTCTGAAAAATCTAATTTCAACTCATGATGTGCCCACCTCAGGGGCCAGGAGCCTATTGAAGGTCCCCGGGCTAAAAGCCTTCTGCACATCTGAGCTCTGGGCAGTCACTGGATGAAACAATCAAGCGGGAGATATTCTCTTGAGTCTCCCTTCAATGTTATTAAAATATAAGACAGATGGGGAGAGGTGAAGGGACTGTTGTCAGCTACACAATCTAAGTGGTGAATTCTATCATCATTTAAGTTTAAAATTAAAGTTTCCTTGGCTTTCAAAATACACCACTCAGCTTTCCGGGCTGAGCTGGGTGGACAGGCTGTTGGGGACAGGTCCCCAAACGCCAGCCGCCCGAGCTGCTGGCTGTGCAGCCACGGTTGCTCGCCAGCCCTTCCTGTTGACCACGGCTGCCTGTCACCCGGGGAAGCCATGGCCACGCCGTCCCCTCCCCCACACAGACAGCAAGAAGAGGCTCCAGCCCCTGCTTCTGGTCCAGAAACACAGAGAAAAAGCACAGAATACTTCCACGTTTCATTGTGCACTTGGATCCACACATTTCTAAGCCTAATCCATCCCAATGTGTGTGAATACATCTAATGCATTCCTTTTAAAAACCACACAGATGACTTAATTTAGCTTTAGATATTCCACCGGGCTGGTATTTTTTTTTTATTTTTTATCCACACCCAAGGACAGTTTTTCATTGTTTCTAGAGAGAGGAAAGGAGAGAGAGAAACATTGATGAGAGAGAGAAACATCAATTGGTTGCCACCTGTACACGCCTGAACTGGCAATTGAACCCAATACCCGGGTATGTCCCTTGACTGGGGATCGAACCCTTAACCCCCTGGTTATGGGGCTCTGTTCCAACCAAGTGAGCCCCATTTGCCAGGACTGGGCTGGTAATTCTAATAGAACTCCCCTGCCCTTTGGGTTTTGCCGGATAGAGCAGGTTCGCTCAGCTCCCCGGTGCCAGGGGCAGCCGAGCTGGGCTCGCCTGGAATCTTCAGGAACCCGCCGACCTGACTGAGTCCTGTCTTCACTAGACGAGGTCGGATGGCACAAATCGAGCCGGTAAGAGGATCATTTACAAGATCAACGATGTCTTTCCCTCTTTTTTTTTAAACATTGAAACAGCATAAAACTATTTCTACCAACTGTCTTTGTTAATAAAATCCGAATATAGACAAACCAGCCATAAGCGTTTAGCTTTAGTTTGGCTTAGGTCTGTTTTCTTTCACCAGCCCGTTGTCCGAATGGATTTAGTGAGTGGGGTTTCATATTATTGGAAGTAGAACCAACTAGGTTTGTGCACAGGCAAAAGCAGACGTGGGGTTGTCACGCAAGTGACATGCAGGCATGCAAGACCAGCCGAGAAGGCCCCGCTGGCCGGCCGTGGCCACCCGGCCTCTCAGCAGGGCTCACCAGGAAGCAGGGTGGCAAAAGGACCTTTCGGGGTCCCGCTGACTGCAAGGCTGTTCCCAGGATAGCCAGCAGCCCAACGGAAGGGATCAAGCAAAAACGTCCCGACATCCTCCTCCTGAAAGTGACTAGGAAACTGGAACCGACAGACTGACAGCGATCCAGCCACCGCGCTTCCCCGAGCCCAGGCCGCCGCCAGCGTAGGCGCGTCCTGCCCTCGGGGAACGGCGGCCGGTCAGGCGAAGTCTTTGGACACGGCCTCGACGAAGTTGGGCGCCGACATGAGGATGCCGATGGTGCAGATGATGGTGAAGACGGAGAAGGCCATGAGGCACAGGCGGTCCACCACGCAGGCGGCGAACTTCCACTCGCTGCACACCGCCTCGCTCTCGTCCTGGCCGCGGAAGCGGTTGGCGATGTAGCGCACCTCCTCCAGGATCTTGGCGAGGTCCGGGTCCCCCTCGGAGGGCGGCCCGCCGTGCAGGAGGTGCTCGTCGTGCGCGTGCGCAGGGGAGCAGGCCAGGCGGCCGCACACGACCCCTGAGTCCGGCGTGGGGGCGCAGTGCACTCCGTCCAGGCCGCGGAAGCCGATGTAGAGCAGGTTGCCGTTGGAGGCGGGCGGCCCCGCCACCGCGCTCATCTCCACGCTGGCCAGGCTGCAGCGGCGCTGCTGGTGCTGGCACGCTGGGCGCACCTTGTCCTCGCCCGGCCGCTTCATGCGCAGGAACCAGGCGCACCAGTTCAGGAGGATGACCCTGGTCTGGGGAGACACAATGCAGCGTGAGGGGCCGCCGGGAAGCGGGCACCAGCCGGTGGGGCCCTGGGGGCGGCGGGCCCCGCCACCCCCCTGGGGAGGAGCGGGCTTCTCTGCGGCGCGCACTGCAATCTCAGGGAAGGCTGCCGCGTGGGAAGAGAAGCCTGTCTTGCTCGGAAAGACGGCCCTGAGCTGTGTGATCAGGCCAAGTGGCTTCCCCTCTCTGATCTTTCCTGACCCAGCTCCCAGGGATTTGATTTCATTTCACTTTATTACATCAAATTGTTGTTCCATTCATCCATGTATTCATTGGTTGACTCCTGTACCTGCCGAGTCGGGGGATAGAACCCACAACCCTGGCGCATCGGGGCCCCGTTCCAGCCAACTGTGCTACCTGAGGTCCCTGGAGATTTTAAATGTACAAGGGAAACCCAGTGACATCTGTCAGGTGCCGCTGAACCCTTAGCTTGAAGCGCTTCAAACCGTATTTCATCAGATCGCTTCACCCCTTTGCAATGAGGTCATAAGGCAAAGCAGGATTTTGAGTTTAAAAGCAAGTGCGGAGAAAGTCAACAATGTGAAACAGAAAACGAGGGCAGTGCTCTCAAGATTGAAGAGGCGGCGCTGGGCTGGCAGGTGCTGAGTTGTCAGGCTTATTACGCTGTTTTGACCTATTTAATAACTAGAACCGTTGGGTAGTCCTTTGGCCCTAGGGGTTCTGCGGATAAAAACAAAACAAAACAAACTCTCCGACACTAAAGGTATATTAACCAGAGAGTTTAGGAACCTGCAGCCTAAGTCACTAGGCTGCAAGGAAGGGTGACTAATGTTACGGTATGTGCATGGAAGTGCTTTGCAAAGTCTGAAGCGGGGGTTGGCAACCTTTCTGGAAAGGGTCGCATAGTACCTACTTCAGCCTGTGGGCCATGAGAGCTCTGTTTTCACTCCGCTCTGCTGATACGAGGCAAAATCAGCCACAGACGGCCCAGCGAGGCACAGGCATGTCTGTTTTCTGATCAACTTTCATTTGTTAAAGTGCTTGGAGGACTGGCCGTGGCCACCAGGGCCATAGTTTGCTGGCGTCTGACCTGAAGTATTCTGTAATCACGCGTGGCCCACACACACAGAGGACGCTGGAGAGAAACCACGTCCTTGTTTTTCCCTCTGATGGAAAGAAAAGAGATGTCTGAAGCCTCGATCCAGGCAAAGCAAAGCACCCTGGCAGCCCGTTTAGGCACAAGCCTGGGAAGCAGGCCCTTCCCCTGAAATCGTTTTCATTTTGGTTTATGATTGTAGGCAGATTCCATCGGCCACACAATAGGGACGTTGTCTGCCTGTAAGCTGTGAATTTCACGTCTGCTGCACGTCCTTGGTAATCATTTTTATGCCATCGAGGACGACTGCAGCACACTGGCACAGGGACAGGCCCTGGGGAGGACAAGAAAGCATGAGAGCAGTCTCACAGTGGCTGTAAAGATGACTGTGGGTCACAGCAGGGGGCCCTCTGTCTCCGGCCCCGGAGCGCCTGTCGGCTTCCCCCCGAGGGTTTTCCGTGGTCGGTGGGAGCAGAAGCGGTGGCTCCACGTACATCTTCAGGCTGCGCTGGCGCTCCACACGAGGCTCAGGAGACACACCGTGCCACCTGGGCCCTTTAAGCCTCTGTGCAGTCCGTATATGCCCCCATGTTACAGAGAAAGCAACTGGGGCCCGAAGAGGCCAATACGTTGGCTCAGGGCATCATAGGGGTTAAGCCGCCTAACTCATGTAGACTCCTGCCACCTGACCCGAAAGCCCTACAGAGTTCAGTTTCCAACTCCTGTGAGTGTGGCCCAAACCACCCAGAAGGCACTGCAAGGCCTGGGCCAGAGTTCGAGGGGGCGCGCTGAGCATGAACGCATCCAAACCAGAGGGAGCTGGGCCCTCGGAGAGCTGGGCAGTAGCGCCTGCAGCTTCTCCCACCAGGGGGCGCAGGGAGGCTCCGTGCATCCCCGGGGGCATGTCTCCAGCTAAGACGCTCTGTCCCTCCGAGTCGATTTTGAATTCACGGCCTGAATCATTAGCTTTCAAGGCTCAACTATCGCAGAAGATGACATTATCCTCTTGGCACTTATCAAACTGTGCTCACGACCCCTTCTGTTAGGTCACAGTTTTGTTTCTGGCTGTGCAAATGTCACATAATGCCACCGCACTCGGCAATATCTTCTTCAGAGCCACAGATCATAATAAAAGTCCCTCGGAGGCTATTTATGTTTCAAATACATTTGGAAAGAAAGAAGAATGCAGTGCGCTATGTTAAATGAGTGCAAGGCACACACTCCATGTTTCATTTGCAGCCACTGGTTTTAGCGCACTCTTGTGTTAAGAGCCAGATAATTATTGCTCCTCATTAAGATTTTTCTGGAACAGTCCGGCACTGCTAGATCATTAAAAATGGTTTGATGCCTTTCTGTCTTAATTTCCTCATTTTTATGTCAGTCCAAACGTAGGAAGTAAGAATATGCGTCGGTATTTGCATAAACGCACACTGGAAGGAAAAAAGGGGAATGAATGCGAACGGTTTTCAACAGTGGCGGTGGGGGAGGGGGCACGGATGGGAGCGGAGTTTCCTGACGTGCAATTTCACTTTCACAACATGTAAACGTGCTCCCTGTTTCAAACAGATGCGTCGATAGACAGAAAGCGTGTCAGGGTTATAAGAGGCGGCGACATGCCCTGTGTGTGAGGTAGCGGCATTTAACAGAAGCTCGCTCTCCAGCTGATGCAATGAGCTGAGAGAGAGTCATTATTAAATGTAAGAATTTGCCATGGAAAAGGATCTAAGGGGACACAGGAACTTTATGTAGCCATTTTTTGGAGATTCCATATATGAGTGAAATACACATATGGTATTTGTCTTTCTCTGTCTGATGTCTTTCACTGAGCACAACGTCCTCTAGGTCCATCCATGTTGTCACAAATGGGAAAATTCCATTCTTTTTTATGGCTGGGTAATATTCCATTGTCTATTTATACACCCTCCTTATTTATTCATCGACTCATGGCCATCTAGGCTGTTTCCGCGTCTTGGCTACTGTGTATAATGCTGGAAAATCTTCTGCAGCTTTAAGCTTTGCTAACTTTAAAAGTGTACATGCTACCAGCTTACAAGATCAAAAACCAAAAACAGAGGCTGTCCCTGCGTTACAGTTGCATAACTGTAAATTACCGCACAACTGACACTGTTGGAAGGGCCAGATCTCTGCTCCTGGAGCTTCAACACACGCACCTTTTACCTTGCAGTGCATTTAGCCTCCTGAACTTGGACGCAAGGGCCTCCAAGGACGGGCTCATTCGGACGTGAGGAACCTTCTCCAGCTCCCCGCTGTTCCCAGGCCGCCCTCTCTGCACAGGAAGGCTGGGCGGTGTGCAGGGCCCAGGTTAGAGGCAGGTGGGGACAGCCCTCGCAGGCACCGGGGTGGTGGGCGTGACCTGGGCTAAGGGACATACTCAATCCTTTCATTTTCATCTATTTCCTTTTCTCCCATCCCCTTTCTCACTGGGAGCTGCTAACCTTTTTTCTCTGGGGTTTGGTTAGAGTACATTCCTGTGCACTAAATGGATACTTTTGCACACAGCCAGCCGCGTGGCCGTGTGCGTGTCTCGCGGTTGTGTCCGACCGCCGCGCGGTTCTCCACTGCGCACGTGCAAAAGGGAGCCGAGGCGCCACCAGGACCCGCCGGGCAGCCAGCGTGCGAGCCCCGCTCTGCGCGTCAGGTCCTAAGAACCGCGCCACCGTCCCGCAGGCGGGGCCGTGCAGACGGGTGAGGTCGCAGGAGAGGGACAGCCCTCGGTTAGGGACTGCTAGCCGTAGGTGGGCTTTTTAGACTAGATGCGTCGCCAGGGCGCCTCCGGTGGGGAGACGCCCCGACTCGCTGCGGCGCGGGCAGGGGAGAAGGGAAGGGACGCACCCACTTGGGCATCTTGCCGCCGTCGGGGTCGTGGTGGTGGTACTGCAGCACGATGACTGTGACGACCACGGAGAGGCCCACGATGATCATGGTGCTGGCGAAGTACTGGGCTGCGGAGAGAGGGGCGCGGCGTGAGACCCGGGCCTGCGGCGCGAACGCCTCGGGGCGGAGGGCGGGCCCAGACCTCCGGGGAGGCTCGACAGCGCCTCGCACGGGCGTGAGGAGGTGGCTCCCACGGGGAAGCGCGTGGACCACTGCTGCAGCTGAAACCGCCTGGGTGGGAGGTGCGTGGGGCGCCCTCGTGACGACCGCAGGGCGCGGACGTGCACGGGGTGTAACGGGCAGGCGGGGGCGTCACCTGACTGTCCTATCAGGCCTGGGGACTTCGGGCGTTGGCGTGGAACAGGAGTCCGGCCCCGTCTACCCAGAGACACCAGGGACGCTACCTGCCCTGCCAGCTGCAGCGACTTTCCAGGCCGAACACGTCAGCTCCGGCTCTGACGGGCAGGCCGCCCGTCTCCACCTTGTCCCAGGTGAGAAGCAGTGCACAGCCCCGGGAAGAGCTCCCCCTGGTCCGCTGGCCGCCGCCTGTGAGTCTGCACCGCCCCCCGGCCTCCGGGGGCCTCGGGTCATTCATCGACCAGCGCGGCAGGCGTGGACATGCCGCCTCTGCAGGGCTGGTGCAGGAAGCGGCAGTTCCACCGGCCAGGGGCCCAGCTCAGGGCCTGGCGTAGGGCGCCGCTCCTTGACTGGCACCTCTGATGACTAAACCTGCGGTGTGGCCGTCGGCTCAAGGGGCCGGGCTATAAGCAGAAAGCACCCTGGGGCAGAGGAGCTCGCCGTCCTCCCCAGGAGACCAAGAGGCACCTGTGAGGAACTTCTAGGGGCGGACATTTGAGACTTAAAGTGAGCACCAGGGACCAGAAGGGGCGGGGCCTTCAGACAGGTGAGCAAGGAGAAATGAGGTTGTTAGTGGGACCTGATCCAATCTGAGTGGCGTCCTTATGTGAAGGGGAGGTTTGAAGATGTGAACCCAGAGAGAGACACCAGTGATGAATGCAGAGAGAAGGCCACGTGAGGACCCGGCCGGAGGGTGGTCCTCTGCGGGCCAAGGAGAGAGGCCTCAGAAGAAACCAACCCTCCCGACAGCTTGACCTTGGACCTCCAGCCTCCAGAACTGTCAGCAGATTCATTTCTGTGGCGTAAGCCTGCCAGTCTGTGGGATTTTATCGTGGCATCTCTAGCAGACTAATACCATGACTGATGGAGGGACCTGGGGTCAAAGGATCTTGCAGCTAAAATGTCAAAACAGGTCAAGGCCAACAGCATCCGTCCTTCCAGACACGGACTGTGGCTCGGCCATGCCTTTCCCCGCTGGCCCGTCAGCCAGGGCCGGGCCTGCCCGCCGCCCCGCCGAGGGTGGTTCCCGCTGCGAGTCTCCATTGAAAGCACTGTGCTGGGGGGTGGAAGGGATGGCGTCACACTGTCAAGTTCACGAAGCCTGGGAGTGTCCATGCAAGCCTCCCCCATTCCCACCCTCCGCTAGGTGACCACTGAGGATGCTGTCAGGTGGCGCGGGCCAGCAGGAGTGATCAGAGATGGCATTCCCGTTGCTGTGCCCCGCTGCCAAAGGGGAGCAACGACGCTCATGTTAACCCTAATGCCCACTGGCAGAATGTTGGCTTCCTGTCTTCACACCTGGCCGAGACCGAACCCCGGCTGCGGTGGCGAGGGTGTCCCATCCTAACCAGCGTGCCACCGAGCACCCCTTTGCAGAGTCCTGCAGAGTCCAGTCCAGGGAGGCTCCCAGCATAAAGCGACACTGTCCCCTAGTTCTGCTGTCCCTCCCTGGCAGAAAGTCATGCCTTAGATCTGTCCTGGCCAAAGCACATTTGTCCTGCTCACATGCCCTCACATGCTTTAACTTTATACAGAGACATCGAGTTATCCCAGGAAACAGCGGCGGAGAATTAAGGTGTGTGCCCTTCGCATCTTAACAAAGGATCTGTGAGAAAACAGTGATTCGAGCTACAAGAATGAATCTCTTGTGGTAAAATCTCTGGCTCCAAAGCAAGCATGAGGGGGAGAATTAGGGAGGAACGGAGCATTTCTGCACCTAAGAGCCAAGCTGCAAAGCTGGACTCCCCGCTGCCTTCACCTGTGCTCCGGTGAGCAGAGGCCGCAGACCACTCTGAATAGTTACACGCCACCTCCTCACACCAGACACCAGGGGGCGCTGCAGCCCTCCATGACCTTGGAGGACAGCTTTGCCCTGAGCCTGTGCTAGGAAATCCTGAGCACCCTGTAAGCCCATGTCTCCAAGCGGAGCCCGATCCTTGCTTACCTATCAAGGGCACCGAGTCAGATGTCGCAGGCATGATCTCAGCCACCAAGAGCATGAAGACGGTGAGAGAGAGCAAGACTGTTATCCCTGAAACAAAAACACAGGGCGCCGGCAACAGGCCGGGAGTAAGACATCAAATCCATCTAACGGGGCCCTAACCCGAGACTCAAAGAACTAGAAAGTGTCTGGGGGAGGGGCAGGTGGTGTCTAAGACATTTCCAAAGGCAGGTGCCTGGTTTCCTGTATTTATAGGATGGGCACTTCCCCGGGGACAGCCACATCATTTAACCGCATTCCAGAGATCTCCGTGGTGGAGTTCACTTTAAAAGCCAGAACTTTAGAAGACTGACACAAAATGAATCACTGAAGTTAGCCTTAGTAGCTCCCGTGTCCTTTATGACATTAGTGTTGAGAGGTGGTCTCGTCTGGCAGGAAAAAGAAAACAGCCAGTTTAAAGTCTTGACTTTGCTGCTCACTAGCTGTGTGACCTTGGATGAGTCACTGAACATGCCCCGGCCTTGCACGCAGAAGATACAGACTTGAGAATGGTTTCTACACGTACTAAATATGCTCCTTAGTAACCCTGAGAATTTGAGAAACTCATTTTGCCATTCTAAATTTTAAATGATCTTGCTATTGGGTGACCCTAAAGAATTACACGCTGTAGGGCAGTTTGCAAAGGCAAGCCAATGATGGGTTAAACTAAGTCGTTTCCAGCACGCAGCGCATGCTGGCTGGTTGCTGCCGAAAAGCAGAATGAGGTGGCAGGAGGAGAGAAAACCTGGGCCCCGCAGGGAAGAAGGGGCCCCTCCCTGGGGGTCCCCACGCTCCGTGTAGGATCAGGGGGTGCTGTGGTATCCCAGGAGGGCTTGACCACCACACGGAGCTGACACCAGGAGCCTGTGGTTCCGAGTGACGTCCTGGGCGAGGCGGCCCAACTTCTGCCTGTACCATCTCTGCGCTCAGAGCCCGGAGGTGCCGGGCGCTGTCCACAGTGCTGAACGCCGGGCGGGCCCTCCGTCCCCTCTCAGACTCCTGCTGAAAACGGGCACTTACCGAGGGAGATTTTCTCCCCAGAGTCCGCCGGAAGCAAGAAGACCAGGAGGGCCAGCGCGGAGATGAGCACGCAGGGGATGAGCAGGTTGAGGCCATAGTAGAGGGTCCGGCGGCGGATGGTCACGGTGAAGGTGACGTCGGGGTACGGCTCTTTACAGCACTCGTAGAACTTCTCGCTCCGCTTGCCCGGGATGCCTGCATGCGGAAGGGAGGAGAGGAACCGCCGCTTCCATGAAATGGCCCTGTTTCGTTTAACGCGCAGCACATGCAAATATAGCCGTGGAGTTTATATGCTAAAAAATTGGGCAATCAGCGTATGAATAAACACTTCTGTCTTATCGGAGAGTTGTTTGGGAGTATCCTTGTGATATCTGAATTAGCAGGATAGTCTGACAGACTGGAATGACATGTGCTATAGACTGAATGTTTGTGACCCGCCCCCCAAATTCCTATGTGGAAACCTAAGCCCCCATGTGACGGTGTTAGGGGGTAGGACCTTTGGGAGGTGATCACGTTAGGAGGGTACAGCCCTCAGGCATGGGATTAATGCCCAGACGAAGGAGACCCCAGGGAGCTGGCTGGCCCCTTCTGCCACATGAGAAGACAGCACCATCTGTGAACCAGAAAGCTGCCCTCACCAGACGCTGAGTCAGCCAACACCTTGATCTTGAACTTTCAGCCCCCAGAACTGCACGAAATAAATGTCTGTTGCTTATAAGCCACCCAGTTTGTCGCATTCTGTTATAGCAGCTGAGCAAACTAAGACACCATGATTATAAATAATATACTGTCAACTTTGCACCATTACAAATGTTATGATTGTTTTTCTATTCAAAATCTTCCCATGTAGGTCCCCATGACCCGCAATTTGCTGTTCAACAAGACTTAGGAACAGAGTAGAGTCGAATGATGTGGGGCTGCCTGTTCTGGCACCAGCTTGTTCGAATGTTTCTTAACCGAGTTCCCCTTGGGAAGCACTGAACTTTCTAATTGCTTTTGTTTCTAATCCTATAGCTTTCAGCAAATCATGGAGAATGCCGCAGGGTGTGATAAACACTCCCGCTGAAAGCAGAGTGGAAAATCCCAAACTTTTAAGCAAGTGCAAGAATAAAGCAGTTTCTTCTAGGCTGTGCGTCTCATGTCTCCGCTGGGCTTACCCATGAGGTCCCACTCTCCGTTGGGGATGTAGCCGCTGATATCTGCCTCCTGCATCTGCAGATCCAAGGACCAGCCTCCATACGACCAGGACCCGAACTTCAGCTTGCACTGCTGCACGTCGAAGGGGAACCAGCGCACATCGATGTAGCAGGAGCTCTTGAATATGCCTATGTGGGTGATTGGCACCATCAGAACACTCACATGTGTATGTATGTGTGTTGGCACAATATATCACACATACGGATTATATGTAATATTATTCAGCCATTGAAATGATGAAAATCCTACTACTTGCAACAATGTGGATGAAACTTGAGGGCATTATGCTGAGTGAAACAAGACAAAGACAAATACTATATGGTATCACCTTTACATGGAATTTGAAAAAAAAGTTGAACTCATAGAAACAGAGAGTTGCTGGTGGTTGCCAGGGTATAAGATGATGAGTTTTAAGGATTTAAGGCACATTTTGGTGACTATAGTTAATAATATTTTATACTTGAAATTTTCTAAGAGAGTAGATCTTAAGCATCCTTGAAAAAAGGTAAGCATGTGAGGTTACAGATGTGTTAACTTGATGGTGGAAGTAATTTCACAGTGGTTATGTATATTGTCATCACATTGTACACTTTAAATATATTATAATCTGTCAGCTATATCTCAATAAGGCTGGAAGATATTAAAAACAAAAATAAACAAACACACAGCAATCCCTCGGCCTCCATCCTCATGTGCTGTTCACGATGCACAATGCCTACCCTTCGTGGAGTGAGAACTTTGCTCGTCTTATAAAGGATTGGTGAGTTAAACAATACATTCTTTATGATGTTCTGTATGTCTTTTTTTAATCCTCACCCAAGGAAATACTTTTTAAAATTGATTTCAGAGAGGGAAGGAAGGGAGTGTAGGCGGGAGGAGGGGGAGAGAGAGAGACACACACACACACACACAGAGAGAGAGAAACACCGATCGGTTGCCTCCTGCATGCATGCCAACTGGGGGTCAAACCCACAACCTTTTGGTATAAGGGACGATGCTCCAACCATCAAGCCAAGACTGTGTGTCTTTTTGATTGGTGCTTTGTGCACACATCCTCTGGCCTTGATGTCCCCTCTTGAAGAGGAGGCGATGTGGGTACCAGGGCCTCTCCCCTGCGTGTGGCCAGAGAGGACCCACCCTGGCCCTCCAGACTCCAGCTAGACCTTCCAGAATAAGCTGGGTCTTTCTTTAAGAAAGTCTCCAGCTGAGAGCTCAATGGAAGATTCACTGTCTTAACATTCAAGACCACACCAACGTCTCTATTGAACGCTGCTCTGAGGGATTTCTGTGCAAATAATTAATACTTTCAGTGTGCTCTTAAATGCGTCCACAGCTTCGAATCCTAATAATAAGAGAAAAGGGAGGGATGTGAAAAATCCCAGGGGAGTTGGTAAAAGTGATGGTACTTACAAACAGAATTTAAAAAGTGTGTGTGTGTTTGGTGAGTGCGGTGAATATTTTCCTTAGGTTAAAAATTGAGAAAACACCTTGTTCTCTAGAAATACACATGCTGGATAATTTTCAGTCATCAGAATTCTTGGAGTTTCCTTGAAAAATTAAAAATTGAACTGCTATTTGACCCAGCAATCCTACTTCTGAGAATATGTCCTAAGAATCTGGAAACACCAGTCAGAAAGAATACATGCACCCCTCTGGCATAGCAGCATTATTTACAGTCACCAAGATCTGGAAGCAGCCCAAGTGCCCATTGGTAGATGAGTGGCTAAAAAAGCTGCAGTACATTCACACAGTGGATGACTGCCCTGCTGTAAAAAAGAGAGAAAGGAAAATGTTCTGAAACTAGATTGTGGTAATGGTTGCACAACGCTGTGAATTTACTAAAAAGCGTTGACTCATGCATTTCAAATGGGTGGATTGTATGGTATGTAAATTTGTTATACATAAAAAAAAAAAAGCTGTTAAAAATAAAAATATGCGATGGAAATAAACCCAAGTTGCTATTCCACAACCAAGTCTCAGTTTCAAAGCTTGTGCCCAGAACACACTTCGTCTGCACTTAGCTGACCAGGCAGAGAAGCATCCGATCAGCCTGGGCTTCCCGGGCCACACAGCCCCACCGGCGCCTCTCCGCCGAGGGAGCGGGACTCCGGGTCGCAGCACAGTGCCCTGTCCTGAGCTGGGCCCCCCGGGGCCACGGAGGCCAGGACGCAGACACAGGTGGCTGGAGGGCCAGGAGCCCTGCTCACGCACCTAGAATCAGCCTCAATCTTCAAAACAGTCTGAGGCACCATATTCTATGAGCGTGTGTGAGATGTGTATGGTGTGGTGTGTGTGGAATGCAGTGCGTAGTGTGGTGTGTGGTACCTGTGTGTGGTGGTGTGAGGGAGTGTGTGTGATACATGTGTGGTGTGTGTGTAATGTAGTGTGAAGTGTGGTGCGTGTGGTATGTGTGTGGTGTACGTGTGTGTGTGGTGTATGTGGAATGTAGTAGGTACTGTGTGAATAGAAAGTACTGTGGTGTGTGGTGTGTGGTGTGTGGTGTGTGTGGTGTGTCGGTGTGTGTGATACATGTGTAGTATGGTGTATATGTGGAATGTACTATGTAGTGTGTGTGATACATGTGGTATGTTTGGATGTGTGTAGTATGTATGTGGTGTGTAACGCAGTGTGTAGTGCGGTGTGAATGGAACTGCCTGTGTAGTGCGGTGTGAACGGAACTGCCTGTGTAGTGCGGTGTGAACGGAACTGCCTGTGTAGTGCGGTGTGAACGGAACGCGGTGTGCAGTGCGGTGTGAATGGAACGCGGTGTGTAGTGCGGTGTGAACGGAACTGCCTGTGTAGTGCGGTGTGAATGGAACGCGGTGTGTAGTGCGGTGTGAACGGAACTGCCTGTGCAGTGCGGTGTGAACGGATGCACTGTGCAGTGCGGTGTGAATGGATGCACTGTGCAGTGCGGTGTGAATGGATGCACTGTGCAGTGCGGTGTGAATGGATGCACTGTGCAGTGCGGTGTGAACGGAACTGCCTGTGTAGTGCGGTGTGAACGGAACTGCCTGTGTAGTGCGGTGTGAACGGAATGCGGTGTGCAGTGCGGTGTGAATGGATGCACTGTGCAGTGCGGTGTGCGTGTGTGGCGGTGGTGAGCGAGCTGGCTGCAGGTCGCCTGGGACCAGGATATCAGTCCATCGCAGTGGGGAGGAGATCCTCCTGGAAAAGAGCATCTGGAACAATCATGTAAAGATTTTTGGAATCCTGTTACTGTCTGTAGGCCACAAAGCCGTGTTCCAGGGCCACAGGCCAGTCACGGAGCAGCCCAGGGCCCCGCGAGTCCACAGGCATGATGGGCTGGTGGGAAAAGAATCGACCCCAGGAAGCAGTTAACCATCGACGGCCTAAGAGAGAGGAGAGACAGCCATTGAGAACTGGGTCACTGACGAGATCCCTGCCGAAGCCACCTGATCGGGGATCTAACAGGCAAGTAAGTGCTCTTCCACGCCTGCACTCGAGAAGTGAGCTCAGCCCCTTTGCTGTCCTGCCCCCAGCACCTGGCAGGCAGCACCTGGAAAACAACAGCTGGCAAGCAACGCCTGGCGAGCAGCACCTGGACAACGACACCCGGACAGCACCACCTGGAGAGCACACATGCCCAGAGCTCAGAGCTAGCCCAAGGGCTCATGGGAGCACCGTCAGGACTGATGCCCCCGGCTCGGCGCGTCTCGCTCTAGGAGGACCAAGGAAGCGACCTTACCTGGAGGGAGGTACTGGCAGTGCCCAGAAGAATTCACCAGCACGTTGGTGTGGAACGTGGCATCGAACCGCTCATCGGCACTAGCAACAGGAAAAGGATTTCGTGAGCAGGTACTGCCCCCCCCAGGGCCCTTGGGTCTGCCGTTGCCGAGGTCCTCCCGCTTTGCGAGGGGCTGCTGTTTGCTCTCCTGCCACCCCGGCATCGGCCTGCGAATGAGTTTTGCAGCTGATCCTAGAGATCTCTGACAGGTTCGAAGGGGCCAGTGTTCACCCCCACTTCATAGAAACTGATTTTTTTTCATATGCATCTAAAACAAAGTTCTGAGCAAAAATGAAACTCGAGGACAGTTGCGGAGGACGCGGCAGATGGGGAATCTCAGTCTCCGAGCAGGAGAGGAGGGTGGGCGGGGCACACGGCCGCTGTGCCCAAAGCGTCAGTTCCCGACTACAAAGGCCCGTTCTTGGCTGGGCTTTAACAAACGTCCCTCACTTTCTGTATTCTGTGACACCTGGGGCGTTGCTGACTTGGGGGCCAGGGGGCTGCCCCCTTTTCTCACCTGCCAGGGCTATCCAGTTGCTAGAGATAGCAAACCACCTGCTCATGAGCACAGGTCTCAAATACAGACAGACCAACGCAGAGCCCATGCCCCAACCACGCCTCTGTTGGGGGTCTCACACTCTGGGCCACCATCCACGTGTCTCCATCACCCGGGGCCACATGCTTAGCGGGCAGCTAAGGAAGCCTCAGAGCCTGCTGAAATTATTCAAAAGCCAACCCCAAGCCTCCGCCCACCCCTTGCTTGCCTGCGCCCCCTCCCCCAGCCCCCTGCAGGGTCCCGGTGCCTCCCCATGAGGCTCTGCCTATCCTGTGCCTCCCAGTTCCAGGGAGCTCTGAGTATGATAAACGTCTTCCTTCACGGCAGACATTTCTGTGTCTGCGTGTCTTGCCACGTCTGATTAAAACAAATCTCGAGTACCCTCAAAGCACAGCCCCTGTGTGTTAATTTTAAAAAGTAAACTGTCTCAAGAAATGGAGGGGGCTGGTCAAGAGGCTGGCGCCACAGAGCACAGTTGCATTTATTTTAGCACCTGGGGGAGTGCTACTGAGGTCTTCCCACTTTCTGCGGCGCCTGAGGCAGCCTTTTCTATTCCTCAGAGTCTTTAAACAGAAAACTCAGATCAAAAGACAGTTGAGAACAGCCTTCGGTGTGACAGATGCCATCGGCGACAGACTCAGAGAAAGATCCAAGAGAAGTCAATGAAAGGCATGAAAATGTACTGCTTAGAAAAGCCACATCCTTCCCAAAAAGGAAGAGCATATTGCATTTAGAAAACCAAAAAGCAATATGGAAATTCAAATATGATTTATGAAATAAATTTGTATTATAAGTGGCTGGGAGGTTGGGCGGGTAAAAATCAGAGGAGAAACATAGGGCAGAGGCGATGAGGGTCTCAGAGGACAGGCTGGGGGGGCTCACTTAGCAGAAGGGCAGGAGAGCCCTGGCCTGGTGGCACAGGTGATTAGAACATCGTCCTGTGCACCAAAAGGTTGTAGGTTTGATTCCCAGTCAGGGCACGTACCTAGGTTGTGGGTTCAGTCCCTGATCAGGGTGCGTATGGGAGGCAATCAATCAAAGTTTCTCTCTCTCTCTCTCTCTCTGTCTGTCTGTCTCTCTCATATCAACAAATGTGTCCTCGGGTGAGGATTACAAAAAAGAGACAGGCAGAGAGGAACTACCCAAGAAATCATGTAGACACATTTCCTAGTCCCGAAAGGAAACAGTTGAGGGTAAGGGCAAGGAAAGGTGTTCCCCAAAAGTGAGTGCTCAGAGGGCTTGTTACCCAGGGTCACGGGCTTCAGGATCGGCTCCAGGAAAACAAGAGTGAACACTGAGAAAGAGGAAGTCACCTGTCGAACTGAACCTGGAGACTAAGAAAAGGGGTTTTGATGACAAGGAGAGCAAAAGGCCTGGAAAAGGGGTGGGGTCCAAACTATAGCAGGATCTGAGGGGTCTCTAGGGAGAGGGGGTGGGTTCCAATGTGGAGAAGAAAGAATATGCTGGAAAATACCATGGGCTTGGTTAAGGACACTGGTTTGGTTTTTTTTTTTTAATCCTCACCTGAGGACATATTTCCATGGATTTCAGAGAGAGAGAGAAAGAAACATTGATGTGAAAGAGAAACATCAATTGGTTGCCTCTCGTATGTGCCTCAACCAGGGATCGAACTCACGACCTAGGCATGTACACCGACCAGGAGTCAAACACTCAACCGTTTGGTGCAGGGAGTGGCGCTCCAACCAACTGAGCCACGTGGCCAAGGCAAGAATACATTGCTTTTAAAAATCTTGTAATAAGAATGAAAAAAAACCCCCAGAGCCTCCAGGGAGAAAAAAAAATCTGTATGAGAAACTCATGGTTTGAATATGAAACGAAAATCCAATAAAGCTTAAAGGAAGAAGGAAGAGAAGGAGGCTAAAGAATATGATTATGATTAATCATAAAAGAATAATCATTTGAGATGAAAAAACATAGCCTCCTCTTACTTCCAAACACACACACAGAAGGAGAGAGAAGGAAGAGGGCTGAGGATGGAAATCTTTGCTTGACGGCAGTTTGTACGCAACTGGTCTTTTTAAAAAATTCATTTGAGAGAGAGAGAGAGACATTGATATAAGAGACATCGATTGGTTGCCTCCTGCAAGCGCCCAGCAAGGCATCAAACCGGCAACCTAGGCAAGTGCCCTGACCGGGAATCAAACCCATGGACCACCTGGTGCATGGGACGATGTTCCAGCCAACCGAGCAGCAACTGGGCCAGCGTGGTACCCAACTATTTTAATGAGTCACATTATAAACAGTGGCTTGGCTTTCAATAGCTGAACATATGGACCTTTACAAACTCCCTCTGGGCCATACCGTGATGTGAAACCAGGTTCCCTGGAACCCTGAGCATCTACGGAGGAGCTTTCTGCAAGTATTTGGTTCCCAAATTTTCTTTTTGTATTTAAAAACCTCTAAAAAAAGTCCAAACACACTCAAGTGACTGTTTACAAATTTGTAACTTTTCAGAGACTACCGGTGTATTAATTCATGTGGCCCGTTGAACTCCTTTCCAGGTGGAAGTTAAACTCAAACTTCTCTTGCCCTGAATGTGTGTGTATTTGCATCTCTTGTAAGGGAGTCACACACTGGGATTGCAGATTTGCATTGCTCTTTTAGAAAATTTTTAGAAGATTCTATTTATATACTTTTAGAGAGGGAAAGGGAGGAAGAAAGAGGGAGAGAAACAACAAGATGTGGTTATCTCCTAAGCGCCCCCTACTGGGAACCTGGCCCGCAACCCAGGCATGTGCCCTGACTGGGAATCGAACCGGCGACCTTTTGCTTTGCAGTCCAGTGCTCAATCCACTGAGCCACACCAGCCAGGGCTCTTTTAGAGAATTTACATTCCTGCTGACAATTCCAGCACAGAACTTGCACCTGGTTTGGCCCAGGCTCCCGCCACTGCACCGGCAGGGACCACAGGAGACGCACAGTTTTGCTTCGTTGAAGCTTGGACTCTTCTCATCTGGTCTTGATGTTTGTAACAAAGACCATGAGCGTCTGTTAGATCTGTGATTCAATTCTGGGAGGAAGGAAAAGAATTTCCTCCCAGTTCCTCCTGCACGCAATTGGATCAATTTAATTGAAGAGACCCCTTGAGATCGGAAGACGAATGGGTAAAAAAAAAAACAACGAGCTAAAAACCTGTTACTATTAGCAACGGCTTACCTGTGTGACTCAGTGATTTCTCAGTACGGTTCAACCCAAGCAGAAAATTGAGATAAATGAGACTGTAGCACCGCCATAATTAGCAAAATGCAAATCTTAATATTCCGGGTGACTGTTGCAGGGTTCCTTCCCCTTGGCAAACTGATTTTTATACAGAAATGACATAAAAGTAAACTCTTATAATACATGAGGGCTAATGCCCAATTCTTCGTCTGTTTTGACCATTAGGGTTGGAAGTGTCATTTGTTAGGAAAAAGGAACCTGTGGCTGAGTCTGAAACGTCTCACTGAGGCAGGGGGATCGATAAGTCCCTGTGCTCGTGAGTGGCACAAGGACCTGGGAGGGGACAGAATCACCCTGCCAGGGCTTTGCAAACGTGGGGATTTCTTTCCACCACAGCCAAGTGCCCCCCAAGGCGTCCCGTGGGGCGGGCCACGTGTACTTCCCAACAGTTCCAATTAAAAAAGATCGATGACTGCAGAAGGCAGAGCCTGCTCCCTCCTGACAGAAATGCAACGATTGCTTCCAGACCCCTTCCCATGATTCCCGGCGCCAGGTACTGGACGACCCCGCCTTTTCTGGACCTTCCACGACCTGGTGTCAGACGGTCCATCCTCGCACGAACGGGGCTCGCTGGCAGTGCTGGGGCGCAGCTGGGCTTTTTCTTTGTCCCCTTGACTACGCGTCCCCTCACGTTCCCACAGGTGGGTCAAACCCGCAACTGTTTAGTGCATGGGACGACGCTCCAACCACTGCGCCACCTGGCCAGGGCCGAAGCCTATATGATGTTATTAACCAATGGCACCCCAATAGATTCAATTAAAATTTAAAAAATAAAATAAAAATTAGTTTATCCCAGTCAGGGCACACACCAAGGTTGTGGGTTTGATCTCTAGTCGGGGCATGTACAGGGGGCAACTGGTCCATCTTTCTCGCTCACCTTGATGTTTCTCTCTCCCTCCCTGTCTCCCTCTCTCTCAAGTGTGCTCATCACCCCAAGCCAAGTCTCCTTCCATCACCCTTTATCCCCCCTTCACCCTCGGCCGCCTCTCCCGCCCCTCCCCCTGGCCATCACCGCGCTGTGGGCTGTGTCCGTGTGTTTGTCTTTTGCTGAATCCCTTCCCCTTTCTCACCCAGCCTCCCAGCCCCTCTCCCCTCTGCCAGCTGTCAGTCTGCCCTCTGTATCCATGAGTCTGACGCTTATTTACAGGGGATCCCTCCCCTTTAGATGGAAGACGGCGCAGCCCTGGGGGGCCGTGGGCATTCTCAGGGACCCGCACAGCAGGATAAGGGGGACGCGAGGGCTGA